CCCCAAAATTGTTGATTGGGATTATATTGAATCTATACATCAAATGGGAGAGTATCAATATTTAACAGTATTAAGTCTAATGACCCATTAACATGATATCTTATTTATTTATATCTTTAAAATTTTTTTCAGCAGTATTTTGTGATTTTTGCCATACAAAATTTTCACATTTTTTGTTAAATTTATTCTTAAGTATGTGATTTTTTGATGCTTTAATACATGAGATTTTTAAAACATTGTTTCCTCTTGTTTTGTGACTAGAAAGTAGAAATGCAGTGGATTCTTGTTTATTTATCTTGTGCAGTGCAACCTTATTAAACTCCTATGAGTTCTGGAAGCTTTTTGCAGATTCTGTCACATTTTCTATATAGATTATCATGTCATCTGTGAATAAACAGCCTTTACTTTTTTTTTTCTAATTTGGGTCTTTCTTCTTCCCTTTCTTCTTTCTTTCCCCCTCTCTCTCCCTTTCTTTCCCCCTCTCTCTCCCTTTCTTTCCCCCTCTCTCTCCCTTCCTTCCTTCCTTCCTTCCTTCCTTCCTTCCTTCCTTCCTTCCTTCCTTCCTTCCTTCCTTCCTTCCTTCCTTACTTCCTTCCTTCTCTCCTCCCCTTCCTTCCCTCCATTTTTTTTTGTTGTTGTTGTTCTTTTTCTTTCTTTCATTTCTTATTGCACTGGCGAGACCCCCTAGCACATGGTTGGATAGGAATGGTGAGAATGGACATCCTTGCCCTGTGTCTGACCTGGGGGAAGCACTCAGCCTTTCGGCACTAAATATGATACCAGCTGTAGGTTTTCTAGACGTTCTTTGTCAGGCTGAAGAAGTTCCCTTCTATTGCTAGTTTGTGAGAGTTTTCATCAGGAATGGATATTAGAGTTTTGTCAAATTGTTTTTATACAGCCTTGAGATGATTGTATGGTGTTAAATTTTTCTTTTAAAGTTCGGTAAGTTATATGGATTATTTTTCAAATGTTAAACCAAATTTGTCTTTCTGGGATAAACTCACTTGAATATTATGTATTTTTTTTTATATATTGTTAAATTGGCTAAAACTTTATTTAGAAGTTTTATATACATGCCGTGGGAGATATTGATCTGTACTTTTCTTACGTTTTTTGTTTTGTGGGGAGGACGTTGTTGTATCAGTGTAATGCTAGCCTTATAGAATGAGTTGGGAAATAATTCTCTCATTTTCTGGAAGAATTTGTAGAATTCGTATTATTTCTTCTGTAAATATTTGATAGAATTCACCAACAAAACATGGAGTTTTCTTTGTGGGAAAATTTTCAATTACAAATTTGGTTTCTTTTAAAGACAGAATTCCATTCATTATCTCTTTCTTCTTGACTGATTTTTGGTAGTAAATTTTCTTGAAGAAATTTGTCCCTTTCATCTAAATTGTCACATTAATTGGCATAATTATAATAGTCTTTATTATCATCTTAATATCTGTAGAATCTGTAGAGATATGTCCTCCCTCTCTCATTCCTGTTATAGCTATTTTTTCCTGATTAGTCTGGCTAGAGGTTTATCAAATTTATTAATCTTTAAATGAACCAAACTTTCAGTTTCATAAATTTTCTGTATTGTTTTTCTATTTTGTAATTAATATTCTGATCACTCATTTTCTTCTACTTATTTTGGTTTAATGTGTGTGTCTTTTTTCTAGTATCTTAAAGTAGTTTTTATTTATTTATTTTGAAACTATGAAATATTTCAAACATACAGAAAATTACAGGGAATAACAGTGTATCCACACTACAGATTAGCATTTGGGCACATCTGCTTTTTATCTGTGTTTAAATTATAGGTACAGTGGAAGCCCCCGTCCCATTTTTCCTTTTACTCTCCTGATCTAAACTCTACTTTGAAGTTAGTTAATGCTTCCTTGAACCTGTTTATGTAGGCTTTCCATAGATGTATTTTTCCCTAAGTAATACACAATATTACTTTAAATATTTTCAAAGTTTACCTAGGTGGAATCATCCTGTTTATATCTTCCAAAGCATTTTGTACTCAGCATAATTTTCAGGATTTGTCCCTGTAAACTGAGATCTGTAATCCAGGGTAGGGCACAAGTAGGATACAGTGTGAGTATGTGGAACAAGTTTAGTTTTATGCTGTTATTTATTGTAGTATTTTCCCTGTGAGCAACTGTAAACCTGCTTTTGCCTCACCCTGTATATAGATTTGGTTAATTTATTTTAAGAGCTATGTAATATTCTAATGATTAAATATACCACTTTATACTGTTTAATAATTTCAATGTCGGTTGTTTCTAATTTTCTTTAGCAATTATAAAAGTGAACCTCCTTTTGCATGTCTTCTTGACAACTTAGGTTTCAGATTCTGTAGAGTATATATACCTAGAAATGTAATTGCTAAGATAAATGATAATGAATACCTTCAACTTTAGGGATGTTGTCATATTTCTCTCCATATTGGTTATACTAACTTATATTCCTGCTGGTCAGATGGTCATTTCTGTGTCAGGAACTGTATTAATTTGTCAGCAGTGGAGACTGGTAGTGTCCTTCTCAGGTTGCGGTTTTCATTGTTAAGATTGCTTCACAGTCCCAGTTGGCTCCTAGAGTTCAGCTGTCATGGCCACAGGAAGGAAGAGAAGAGAGAAGAACTACTAGGGCTGTTCTGGAATCATCAACTGTGTGTGTTGCCACCTCATTGGGCGCTCTGCTTTACAGCAAGGGCTGGGCACATCGCACAGAACAAGGGGGGCTTGTTGGGTAGCCATATGCATGTATTGTCACAGATCTCATTGCTAGTATTTGGTGTTACTTAATATTTCAGTTTTGGCAATTAGGTGGGTTTGAAGTGGTATCTCTCTTTTAAAATTACATTTACCTAATTACTGGTGAGGTACAGAATTTTTCACTTGTGTGTTCAGGTTTTCTTTTCTGTGACTTGCTTATTGGTATTCCTTTGCCATTATTCTATTGTTTTATTTCTAATTAATTTAGCATATGCTTTATTGCTCAGGGTACTTATCCTTTGTTTCTTTACATCCAAATAAATGTTTTTGTCTTATATTTGAACTTTGGTATGGTATCCTTTATCATACAAAAATATAATAATGGAATTAAATTTGACAGGTCTTATTCTTTGTGATTTATTCTTTTCATGTATGCGTATGGGGAGAAATATTTTTCCTACCCTGAAGTCTTAGACTTTCAAAACAAAAATGTTTTAAACTTTTGCATTTCAAAACTTGCAGAAGGTTTGTATTATTTGTGAATGATTTGAGGTAATGATCCAATTTAACTTTTTTGTATGTGGAAGGCCACTGGTCTCAGCAGCAGTCATGGACTGGTCCATCCTTTTGCCACTATGTGCTTTGCTGCATCTGTCATAAATCAAATTTCTTAGTGTATGGGGTTTTTAATCTGTTCCACTGGCATATTTAACCCCACCTCTACCCTCCCCATCTTCCACTGTCTTTACTCTGATGGCTTTCTATAAATGTCTTTGTCTAGTAGATCAGCCCCCCTTCTTTAAGAATTTGTGAGCTCTGCTTGGCTCTACTTTTCTACATACATTTTAGGGTTCCCTTGTCCAGGTGCATGATAATTTTGATCAGAATCTAACTGAATTCTGCCTGGCTGCTGTGGCTCGGTGGATCGACCCATAGACCAAGAGGTGGCCAATTCAATTCCCGGCCAGGGCACATGCCTGGGTTGTGAGCTCAATCCACAGGAGGGGGCATACAGGAGGCGACCAATCGATGTTTCTCACGTAGATGTTTCTATCTCTTGCTCTGTTCCTCTCTCTCTAAAATATCAATAAAAACATATTTTAAAAAATAAAGGGGCATTAGTCTTATAGTCAGTGTAGGTCATGCATGAGGGGTAGGGGATAGTGGTAGAAAATCTCTGACGATACAGCTGGATCCATAGATTAGTGACAACATACAAAATCATTTCCAGGTCATTTTTTGTCATTATCCTGATAGTTGTTTTCACTCTTACAAGGTACTTGGTAGAACTTGTTCATGTGTGCAAATACTTTTGTGTTATAATCATGGTGTCTGCTTATGTTCTGCATTTTCTCATGCATACCTCCTGTGAATGTATAGTTCCCAAATAATTTAATTTTAGATAATCCCTTTAATGATGTGCCATTTCCTCTTGTGAGATAGTTTAGTGGCTTCTAGTTTGTTTTCATTTTTGTAATTTATGGACTGTTTGTTTAAGCTAGATTCCCAGTCATGATTTTATCAAAGGATATAAACATATTTATTTCTCGTTTTATTGTCCAGTTGCCGTCAGACTGTTTTAAAGCACTTTGTAATGCTGCCATTAGTTTTTGAATGACTCAGTTTAATTATAGCTAGCATTAATTTATTTAAGGAATGTTTATTGAGCCCCTGTCCTGGTGGAGTGTGTGTTCTAGTAGGGAATATAGATGAAAATATAATAAAATAAATGTTATATTTTATACTAGAAGATAAAAAGGGTCATACAAAATGCAGCAAGGTAAGATAAGGGGGTGCTAAGAGTGGGATGACTTGCATTTAAGTGTTAGCTCCTGAGAGGCTGCATTTGAGCAAGGACTTGAAGCATTGTGTTTGCTTTATGTATTTCTCTCTCTCGCTGTCTCCCTCTCCCTATCTAACCAATTTAAGAATTTTTTATAGTATATGGAGATAATTGTAATCTATTTTCTTTGTTAGTGGGAGTCAGTAGTTTCCCACGTTTTTTATTTTTATATTTAATTGGCAAATTTTGAAATTTTTATAAAAAACTCAGAAGTTTTCTATGTAAGACTGTTCCTGTTCTTACAATTAAGAGTGGGGGAGATTGGGCCAAATACGTTTGTATTTAAGCATGAAGAGAATATTCTGCCAAGAGTTTTAATAAGGAACCCAAATAGTACAAGACTTTAAAAAATAAAGATTGTTTTTCTTTAATTGTATTTCTATTAAAAGTGAAGGAAAAATGGAACTTAATAAAATGTATAAGAATAACAGATATTTGTTATTTTATAGGGTGACTGTTGGATCTGTATGGAACTCATGTCTACCTCGTTTGATAAGTTTTACAAATATGTATATAGTGTATTAGATGATGTTATTCCAGAAGAAATTTTAGGCAAAATCACTTTAGCAGTAAGTACCTGGTTTTCAAATTGTTCATTCTATGCATACTCATATGAAAATGCTGCTGGAGTTTGGATGCATACACCCAGATGTCCTTCCCAGAATGTTACTGACCACCTAGAAAGTCATCTGTAATAGCGAGAGGGATGAAATCACTTTTGTGGGATAATTAACACAAGTCATAAGAACACTTTGTGGTCTACATGAATACTACAATATTCTTTTCAATAAAACCACAATGAACCATACTAGATTTTACTGTCAGTAAGATCAAAAAAAGCAATTTTCTGTTCCTTTTCTCCCCTGTTGGTTTAACAATTTTAAAATATTTTATATTATCACAGTTGTCCCTAAATTAATCAGAATCACAGCAGTCTCCTTCAAGTCTCTTAATTAAAACTCTTAGACAAAGTATTATTTCCTGTGGTTTAAGATTAGGCTATCCAATCTAAACCATTTACTTTTTTGACTAGCAATTTCAGTAACCAGCATTATTGCTGATTTGGTCGATTTACTCTTATCAGAGTACCAAGAAGAAAAGAGGTACTTCTTTGTTTATGTGTTTATAGTCTTGAAAGTGAGATCATGATTATTTCCTTTCTTGCTCTGCATCTTTTAGTTGACAAAGGTTGTTCATAATTATTTTTTCCGAAAAAAATTATATTTGATAGAGTAAAATTAATGATTCTCAGAAACCTCTGAGAATCTGATCATGATCTGGGTTAGTGGACATGTAAACTAAATTTTATAGAAGTTGTAAGATAGCTGTCTGGTTGCATGTAATTTCCTGTTTCTTCCTTTCCTGCATCCTCAACCTCCAACATAGGTTGTCTGTGCATTACCATTTTATCCTGTGTAATCACTAATGGTTAGTGTTAAAAATATATAGTTTCTGAGTTGTATTTTAGTTGTAATAGATGTGGGTACATAATTGAAATTTAAAAAATCAGATTAAACTCTGGTCATTATAATCTTAAAATTCATAAGTCTCATGTTAATGTTTTAAGTTATTTAACTGAATTAATGCTTAAGTGTGTTTGATGAGCTAAAATGTTAAGGTATATACCTTTTCATATATTTTATAAAAAGAACCTGAGTTTTATTAGAAATTTATTCATTATTCTGACTGATACAGGAAATTTTATATTGATCAATTTAGTCATCTTTCTCCAGTATATCAAACCCAGTGTTATCTGGGGATTTGTTAGTATTCATAGGAACAAAGTAGCATAATGATAATAGCTAGTGGTTATTGAATGTTTCTTTGTATTAGGCCAAGATCCTGACATTTTATTTTCATAGCAACTCTCTATGGTAAATAGTATAACCTGTTTACAGATGACAGATCTGAAATATGGAGAGGTTAAGTAATTACTTTGCTTTGAAGTTTATACAATTTTAACTGGTAAATGCACTAAGCCCAGGCAACCTAATCCCAGAATCTTGTTCTTAACCACTGTACAACAGGGTGATCATGAAATTAGCAAACAGATAAAATTATCATGTATTGCAATATGTGTAGCATAGGTAGACTAATAGGTTATTTATTATATATTTGCCTATATTTCTAGGCTTGATCACCTTTTATATTAAGTACATTTAAAATTACTTTGAGTTAAATTTCTCTTTTTATTTTTTTATACTCACCTGAGGATATGCGCACTGATTTTTAGAGAGAGAGAAACATCTATATAAGAGAGAAACGTTGATTAGTTGCTTTCTCTTTTGCTCCCTGACTGGGAATCGAACCCACAACCTTTTGGTGTACAGGGTGACACTCCAACAAACTGAGCCACCTGGCCAGGGCAACTTATACCTGTTCTTAATTAATTAATAACTCATTGAGCACACCGCCTGGCTGTCTGAAGCTTTGGGGACACTGAGGCGCGCCGCAGACATTCCTCTGAGGGCTCAGCTCCCAGTTTGGGAGCTTTTCAGAATTCAGAAAAGCGTTTTAAATTAGGGTTGATACTGGTACCAGCCTGTTGGACTTTCTTGTACTACATATTTATATTCTTGAAAAATTGCAAGGTATAAGAAACATTATACAACTTATTAATGACTTATTAAAATAATTATAAGTTAGAGGGTTTTCTTTTTAGCTGTCAGGGAACAGCATATAAAGGCAACTAAGTGTTCAGATTTAAAATCATTCACCATCTTCAGGTAACATAAACATTCACATTAAGCTTACAAGAACGGAATGGGCTTTGTGGGCTGTTAGTTATTATAAACTATTGTACTGTTTGATTAAAAGGAAATTGTTTATCCCATCTCTGCTTTTTCTCCTTAGACTGTGAAAGCACTAAACCACTTAAAAGAAAACTTGAAAATCATTCACAGAGGTGGGTATAGGATTATTTTTCATAGAACAATATTTCCTTAATAGGGGAAAAATATTGAATATTACAGTGTCACTTTTTAGCAAAACCTCCTATATGTACCCTAAAATTTTACTATTAATTTAGAGGGTTTTATTTTCCCCTTTGGGGAGTCTGTAAATTTCAATCTACCTTATTAATATGTTGGACTCCATAATTGAAAGAGATTTTGCTGTAAGTTCTTACTACTCTTAGTTTTAAAATAATTATTCATTTGCCCCATAGATAATTAGTGTTTCTCTTCTATACAAATAAGGCATGAAGGTAGTCCTGTGGGCATTCAGAGAAGAATCAGAGGGGTGCTACTCTTGTATTTTAAAGGCACACAATTGTCCCTATCAAGTGTTTTTTTCTCTATTAGAGGATATTTTTGCAAATTGAGAGATTCTTTAATTAGTATTGTACGTTGAAATTGCTCCAAAGCATTTGTATTTGTGAGAATAGTGGACTTGTCCTTGTTTGACACAGATTCAGAGTTTTAAACATTTGATGGAGATATATTAGAAGACGAGGGAGTCCTGACTCTAATTCAGCAAACAGACTAAATATTTCCTCTGTTTATTATGACAGACTCAGAGCAGTGAGGTTTTGAAGAGGCACAAACCTAAGACATGATGTGACAGTGTGTGATTCAGCCTGCCAATAAATAAGGTAGAAAGTCAAAAGTCATATTCAGAGAAGTAAAAAACCTTGAATTCTAGGAATCATAGTTTCCAGTGGTTAATGAAATTAGTAATTGGGACATTTATTTAAGTAATTTTAGTTTGGGGTTGACCTTGGACCAGAAATTAGTTAACGTTGAACATCAGAGTAATTCATTTACTTTTGCCAGGCTTAATGCTTATTAAAAATAATATTAGGTAGGCTTCTAATTTCCTTTTTGGCCTAAAATCATATAGGGCTAGGTCCCTAAACAGAATTACTTAGTTCCTCTCATAGTTCTTCTCATAGTTCATCTTGTTCTTGTTTTGGGGTTTTCCCTCCCTTTTTGCTGTTTTCTGCAATTATGAGAGTATTGCCTTTATCTTAGAGCTGCTCGAATACCTTAGGAATAGTCAAAGTATCACAGTAAAGCACCAAGACCGTGCCTGAGGGGTGTAGGAAAAAAGGTAAAGTCTTCAGAAATAACTTTGGTTTTCCTATTACTAAATAAAATGATGATTTTATAGTAGTCTTTTTATCAATTTGAATTAGTTAGCTTTTTTTTTTTAACTGCAATCATAGTGCTTTTGATCACAAGTAGCAGCACTGATAACTGGCTTAAACTTCAAGGGAATTCATTATCTGTTGTAATGAAGTCCTGGCACAATATGATAAGGGTTCGAGCTCCTTTCTTTAGGCTGTGCTCTCTGATCTGTTGGCTCCGTTCTCAGGGTGGTACAACTAGAGGTGGTCCCAGTGTCACGTCAAGACAGGACCACCTCTTGAAGAGCTCTTGCTTGCTGTGCCACTGTCTAAAGAGCAGGAAGTCTTCCTTATCTGTCCCTCTGTTCTCTGACCATTCACCAGAGTCGCCTTGCCCTTGCCAAACTAGTCCCTGCCCAGTAACCCAAGATGACCCTGATAAAGCTTAGACCGGTCAGGAACCAAGTTTTGTTGGTGTGGATAGAGCTACACAGAGGAGGGTGGCTACCTCAGTAAAATGCAGCTTCCATTGTCCGGCATGGATGTTGATAGGCAGTCAGCCGTGTCAGTGGTGGTACGAGGGCTTCTCTGGATTTTTTTTGTAGGTCACTTTCTGAGTTATAGACAGATGTTTTTGATATCTTAAATTTATTTTTGCCTGTACTTTTTATTCACTGAGCCATAATAGTAACAACGCAATAGACAGAAGAATTAAGACAGAGATAGAAAATTGGTGAGCCAAGGGGGAGAGTTGGCCAGACAGCCGAATAGCATACACTGGCGGTGAGTTGATTGTCAGAGAGGAAGAGGTGATAACCTGGGGCCAATGTGGCAAGACTCTATAAGATCCACATGGAGGAGCTTGGCTTTCTCAAACTGGTAAAGCACAAACACTGGGTGTGGTAGAGAACCCGAGTTGGTTGGGAGAAGCCTGATGAAGCCATCGAAGATCAGAAAAGTCTCTCAAGTAGAAATTAAGTGGATGCATTTATTGAGTATAAATGTTCAGGCACTGTATTAGATGTTTTAATTTCCACAACCCTGAATTATGAATTAATTATTTCTTCATTTTGTGGATGAGGAAATTGTGGTTGCTGCTGGAAGTTCACAGGTAACATTAAGAATTTCACACTGTGAATTTTAGATCCAGATTTAAACCTTTTCTTCTCTGATCCCAAAGCTTGTGGTCTCTGGATGTACTGGATTGGATACTTTCCTAAGTTAGGTAAAGCTCTGCTTTAACTAAATGTGGGTTTATAACTTGTATACTTTGTATTTAGTTGTATAGTCTTTGACACATATTATAAAGTAACTTAGTACACTCTTACAGATTAAATTCATTCTTCATATTTTGAATGTTAAGTAATGAATTTGAAGCAAGTAAATGAATGTCTCTTGATAAGAACAAAGACAACATTATAGAATGCCTAAATGTATCATAAAGCATTTTTTGATATTGAGTTTTTAAGTATCAGTCTTCAGAGAAATCTCATGTTTCTCATATATCTGAACTTTAAGGACTTGATCACTTAATGTTGTCTAAGGTTTTCAGTATTTTTACTTAAAGTACTTTAGAATGTAGCTCATTTGATTGATTACTTCTACATTAAATGACATCTATCTCTTTCAGATATCAAACCTTCCAATATCCTTCTGGACAGAAGTGGGAATATTAAACTCTGTGACTTTGGCATCAGTGGACAGCTCGTGGACTCCATTGCCAAGACAAGAGATGCTGGGTGTCGGCCGTACATGGCAGTAAGTGAAAGCCAAGCCTTCTTGCTTGACTGTCATTGCACAGAGAGCCTGTGCCCTTTGGTGCTGTACTTCTGAGGACTCTGCCGTTGGTCATGCAGTTTTGCCATTCTAAAGCTTTGTCTCTTCCCTGAAGGCCAAACACAGGTTCCAGCTTCCCCATGAAATGTTGCAAAATTATCCCAGTGAGTTTCTGCTTTATTGTCTTATCCTGTTCCTCTTATTTGTACTTAACACTTTTGGTCTTCTCTGATTACTGTCCTTTCATTATATTCTACTCTACTAATCAACTACATGGTAGCTCTCTGAAGGCCTCTTTGTGTTTCTAGCACGCCATGTGTTATCTTGACTAGTAGACAACATTGTAGTAGGCATGTTATAATGTGTTGTAGACCATTAAGTGATACCATTTCCAGTTAGAGAAGAATGGGAAGACTCAAGTTTGCAGTGGAACTCAGTATATCTGAGTCTGAGGCTGTTTTTGAACGCCGTTGATTCCCTCTTCAGAGGTGGATGAAGCACACTAACAAATGCAGGGGAAATGCCTTAGGTGTTTGCCAACCTGGAGCCTCTTTCCCTTCAGGGAAACAGAGCTACACTCTCCTTCTGCACATATCATACTCATCGTACCCCAATCCACCTGCACAGACTAGAGATGTAGTGTCTGTATTTTAAACATTTTCCTTTATGTTGGTGTCTTCCTTAATGTGACTGTGGTTCTTTGGGGACCAACAAACTACTGTAAATGGTGATATGCACAGGTTTTGCGTCATTATTGAAGCACTCCTTATCTGTTTTAGTTTTTAAGACTCTTTTTTAGCTTAGAGCTGAGTACAGTTTTGCTCTCTTATTGTTTGTTAGCTTCTTTCTTGATTTATGTATTTTCTAAGCAATAGAAAAGTAAGAAACATCATAGGCTACATATGACAGCTTTTTTATCTTGGTTGTGGATGGGCAGACTCAGTGGTACCCCCAAATTAACATTTATTTTAAAAACTTGACTACATTGTATTTTCAGTGTTATTAAAAGTAAATTTTAGCCCTGGCCAGTTTGCTAAGTGGTTAGTGCATTGGCCCATGGACTAAAGGGTTGCAGGTTTGATTCCAGTCAAGAGCATGTACCGGGGTTGCAGGTTTGATCCCCGGCCCCAGTCGGGATCGTGCGGGAGGCAACCAGTTGATGTCTCTCTCATCAATGTTTCTCTCTCTCGCTCTCCCTCCTCCCTTCCACTCTATCTAAAATCAGTGGGAAAAAAATATCCTTGGGTGAGAAAAAAAAAATTCTAAAAGTAAATTTTATATCAATAGATTTTTTTCTTATCACTTAACTCTCAACCTGTAAATATTTTAAGGCACAGTAGTACATGTATTCTTTGTACATGTTCTGTTGCCTGTACTCTGGTCATTGTATTTGAAATTTTTTTTTGTTAACAATATTTTAAAATTATTGCTTTCAATACCCTGTTTTTATTTTGTTACATCTTTTCATGTCACCTTTTCCACAAATGAAAATATCAGAGGAGTGTGTGTGTGTGTGTGCATTAATACATACAAAAAGGTCCCTTTGTTTATACTTTGGACTTTGTGGACAGTGACTGTCCAGGCAGATTCTTGGGAAGATCTGGATTATCTTGCTTTCGTCATGATAATTAGGGATAAATGGAACAACCAGTTCAAAAGCAAGAAACAAAAAATAAATTTAAACATGGAGTATTTGGGAATTCATATAATTCACACATTTAGTAATTATGCCCTGAGAATTAAGTGGAAACTATTATATGTACTTTAAGGGCTTATCTCACTATTAAGGTTGACTAAGTGTTTTTGCTAAGGGTAACATTGGCTAAGAATTATATTTGATATTTGTGGATTTTAAAAATGTAGTTGTTGCCCTGATAAAACTGAGAGAGAAGTAGACTTTCAGTTTCTTGTAGAAATAAGTAAGGTTCACAGGCCCAGGAGGGGCACGCTTTTGTCTTCTGCTGACCTTCTTCAGCTTTGGAGTAAGCAGGCTGATGATAACTCTGGCTCTCATTTCTGCTAGACTGAATGAAGTGTTTGTATCCATTCTAGTCTTCTGAAGCCTGTGTAATGGACAAGACTATAATCAGCATTCATTTTACAAGCCTCTAAGTAACTTGATGTTTTTTGATATATCTTGACAGAATATGTCTTGTCTTTGGTCTATAGGAATTGTTATTTCTTATATTTAACATAGAGAGTGTATAAAGTGTAGAGTTTAAATTTAAGTTTTTTCATAAACCAGTTAACATTTTGCCACCTCCCTGCCTCTTCATCTAGGGGTGTGTGTGTGTTTATATACACATACACGTACACTACACATACACATACACATACACATACACATACATATACATATACATGGGTTGGCAAAAGTAGGTTTACAGTTGTGAGTACATGAAACATTTTATTCTTGTATTACATATTTTTCCATATGAACAACTAAACTTACTTTTGCCCACCCTTGTATATGTACTTACACATTTAGGTGTATAACTGTGTGTGTGTTCTGGACTATTTGAAAGGAAGTCACAGATATCATTACTTTCATTCTAAACATTTCAGTACTTCTCTCCCAAGAAAAGGGCATTTATTCTTCTATATAACTACAGTATCATTATCATACCTAAAACATAAACCTAAAAAAGTTAACAAGAATTTCATAGTATCATCTAATATATAGTTCATACTCAAATTTCCCAAGACAAGTTGTCCAAAATAATGTACATAGTTCTCAGTCAAGGATCACATCAAGATTATACATTACTTTTAGTTGTTACATTTTGTATTTTAATCTAAACTGGTTCAGACCCTTCTGTTTTTTATTTTGTCCCTCATGATTTTGACATTTGGGGGAGTGTTTTTAGAATGTCCCACATCTGGATTTGTCTGATGGTTCTCTCATGGTTAGTTTTGGACTGCACGTTTTTGGTATGGCTTCTTCATGGATGAGATGTACTTTATACTGCATCGCACTGCAAAGAGCATGGTGTTAGGTTATTTCACTGATTGCTTATTTTCTTTTAAGTACTTGAAACATTTGCAAAACAGAAACTCGTTTCCTCAAAATTTTTTTTCCTCACCCAGATGAGTGATAATCTTTGTTTCTGGAGGATTCCTTCACCCTTCCCTCTGTCTGGCACCATCCAACTCGAGACTTCAGTTTCTCCATCTTTAACCTTTTCCTCGTGTACCTCTTCTCCTTATATTATAGAAGCCCATCTGTGCTAGTTTGTAAGACAGTCTTAATTGGTCATTGAAGGGTAGGGATTCTTTGGGAAATTAAGCCATTCAAAATTATCTGTATAACAGAGAACTTTAGAAAACCATGTATATATATATATACCCAGGGCAGGGCACACAAGACCCGAGAAGACCCAGAACTCTAACCTCTGGCGGATCTATAGGCTCAGGGAAGTAGAACGTGAAAGTTAAGGCAGATTTGTAAATGACCTGGCTAAGCACTACAGGAGTGTCCCAACACACAGCCAGTCTGCACAAACTGAAATAATTGTCTTGGTTTTTATTTATTTGTTTGTTTGTTTATTATGTATTTATTAATTTATTTGGTACATGCCCTTAGTGGGAACCGAACCCAGGACTCTCTGGTCTACAGGCCGACACTCCAACTGCTGAGCCAAACTGGCCAGGGCTGTTTTGGGTTTTTGATGCTCTAATGTATGCCTCAGTCCCACACTTTTTCACCAGGCATCTGTGGGTCATTTGTTTGCCTTACAGTGTCTTCAAGGAATGTCCACTGCTTTTCTGCCTTGAGTGAGTTTCAATTTAGGCAAAACAAAGGCAGACATCTTGCATCTATCCATTATGTAGCCTCCAGACAGAATAGAACAGATAAACACAATTCTTCATGAATAAGGTCTGCCCTGCCTCCTCCTCCCTCTGGACCAGGGACCATAGTTCTACACTGGGAATGCTAGCTGCCACTGAGCTGGAGCAGGATTGGGGACGGGGGCAAGGTCAAGGAGCAGTGCTGCAAAGCTTCTTACCATTTTTAAGTTCTCTCTCTCTCTCTCTTTTATTCATTTATATTTAAAATCCTTATCCAAAGACATGCTTGTTGATTTTAGAGAAAGGGAGTGGGGGAGAGAGAAGTATGGATTGATTGCCTCCTGTATGCTCCCTGACTGGAAATCGAACCCACAACCTTTGGGTGTACAAGACGACTCTCCAGCCAGCTGTGCCGCATCGGCCAGGGCAGTTTCCTTTTTCTTGATTCAGTGTTTGCTTGGCTGTTTTAAACCCTGTATTTTTCCCCCCAGCCTTGTAACAGAGTTGATTCTGACTTTTTTACTTTATTTTTCAATGTTTCTCTGGAGGGATGTTTCCTTGGAGCTGCCTACTGTGCCATTCTTACTGATGTTGCTCTGTATATCCTTTTTCTAGGGCCAAATAAGTTTGGGAATCACCCTATGCCATTTTAAGTTTTATAGCAATATAGTATATATTAGCATATTAATTAAAAGTACTGCCTGGCCGGTGTGGTTCAGTGGTTGAGCATTGACCCATGCACCAAGAGGTCGCTGGTTCGATTCCCAGTCAGGGCACATGCCCAGGTTGTGGGCCTGATCCCCAGTGCGGGGCGTGCAGGAGGCGGCCAATCGATGTTCTCTCTCATCAATATTTCTCTTTCACTCTCCCTCTCCCGTCCTCTCTCTCTAAAATCAATAAAGAAAAAAAGTAAAAAGTACTGAGAAAAACCTCAATAAACTTTTTTTCTAAATCTAGCTAATTTCCCAAATATTTATTAGTGGAACCCACTTTGTTTTGTGGTATCCCTGCTAATAATTAGAAGAGTTCCTAGTCTATGGAAAAAAATTTATTCAACAGTGTTATTAATGATGTAACTCTACATTAGGCTTTTCATCTGGAAATAAAATACATTTTTTTTTTAGTGTGGTCAGGCAGGATTCTTCTATAATTGTTTTTAGTTCTTGATTGGCTTAAAAATTAAGGATTTAAAA